AAATTCTAAAGTTAAGCAACTACAAGGATGCACTTTTACTCCTTGGCACAACCTTGCCTGTTGCTCCCACAGGATCCAGTACAGCTGATTCCGAAGGCTGAAGCCAGCTTTTTTTTGCTGTGATTGCATCAAAAAAACTACAGGAGAGCTCTTTAATTAAACAGATCTTTATCTCAAGTTTTGCTGCAATTCTAACAGCATTTGCCTTAAGATCAATTGTATCAGATACAGTTTTAAATGGCTCGGAAGCTGCAGCAACTACCTGGGCTCAGAGAGCCTTTTCCCTCAGCCTTATTCTTATACTTACCACCTCTCTGCTCTTCGGCAGACCGCTCTGGAGAAATGAAGAGCAGCACTACTTTTACCTCCAGACTGAAACAACATTAAAAATGCGTAAGTGCCTTGTACCAGAAGCCACATACAGCCACCCAGCTGCATAGAACTTAAACGTATGACATTTTACACAAAATAAAGCCCTATTAGACACTTACAGAAGCTATAATATCCATCTGAATGCCACATTTCTACTGGATATTTAAATACAATTGCAGATGGAGACAGAAGAGGGTTAGCTCAATCTCTTCCACCCCTACTGCCTTCCTGTATTTGTACAAACACTAGAAGAGAACAGCAGGTGGTGGACCAACCTCAAGAACTACTCAATGTTGAATATCAATTAACTGAGAGTGGGTTTCTGATTAAGTCTTCAATCAAATACCTAGCAAAGAGGTTCAGTAAAAAGTATGAGCCAATACCTACAGGCAAAATGAAAGCAGTGAGAGGTGGAAGTTGGTCTGAATATTTATCAATCCACTGCTCCAGCTCCAGCACTGGCTTTTCACTAAATGATGTCCGTTCTATAGAGGGAAAGAGGAAACAACTAAAATAATACAAAAATAAATCAATCCACCAGATGGATCTTGCATTTTACATTTGTCATACTAAGTACTCCTTAGAGAAGTGTAAAAAATTTACACTTGTCTCCCACAGATTCCATCTTCTACAGCAAACGCTAACAGAAGTACACAAGTAGTATCGCTAAATAAACAACCTGACCTACAACGAGGGCAATTTTTAAAAATACAGAGCTGTTATCTTAGGTAAAATGATTTGAGAATTACTTAAGTGAGCCTCCCTAGCTGAGGAGAGAGGAGTTGCAATGTTGGAACCAACGTCCTGCAGCATACACTGGACCTAGGGGCAGTAAGAGGTAGAGAAAAATGAAAGTATGCATTACAGTCAAAGCATAGACAATGAAATTACACTTGCAGAGATGACATCTGACACTCCAATAAGACATTCTAGAGGCAGTGTGGTAGGGATTCTCAGATACGGTGACCAGACAGCAAGTGTGAAAAATCGGGGGGAGGGGGGGGTAATAGAAGTCTATATAAGAAAAAGACCCAAAAAATCAGGACTGTCCCTATAAAATCAGGACATCTGGTCACCCTATTCTCAGAGCCTTTAATCAGGTGATATTGACCACTTCTGCAGTGTGAAGCTAATTAGTAAATGCCAAATGTACCCTCAGTGTGAGCTGTTTTCCACTGTGATACACAGTCCTGTTTACCTCAGGCAGCTTGGCTTAGTATTTATGTTCTCTTGGTTTCAATTTGAGAATGCATAACAACAAGGCTTAGTCTGTGCCCAAGATTGTGCAAAATAATGAATATGAACCATCTCAATGACACGCACACACACATTCAACTGATTTCCTTTTCAGTATAGAGAGAAAGTAGCATCTTGTTTCTTCAGGTAACCAAGAGATTTTCAAGTCTGCCTAAAGGATTTATGCAGAATTCCCACTGACTGCAATGGGACCTACAAGCCTAAATCTCCTAGGTGGCTTTAAAATTTTAAACCAAGAGTTTAAGATCTCAGCATTCTAATAATACAGATGTAATGGTCACGTTAGACATAGAGCATGTAGTTACTACTCACTTTGTGAAGTTGTTCGACAAATGTGTGGCCACTTTCCTGGCTTAATTCACTAGCAACCCTAGATTAAGATGAAGCAGAGAGTTAGCGCTAGGACAGAGGAGACTTGTTTGGCACATATCTTATATTTATGGCTCATTGTACACTCAGTATTACATGCACAGGTTCACAAGGAGCATTGCCTTGCAACATGGAACAAAGTAGGACTCCCAACACCTAAAAAGAAAACACCAATTCAAAAGCATATCTGCAAGACCATCCGCTGCTTTCTGAATTGTGTCCATATAAATCAGAGGTACAAATGCAGGACGTTTCTTCCTGTATTCAGGAACTGCAGAGGGCGGACACAGCTGATCCACTAGCAAGTTTTTATTGATCAAGAAGCAAATTCTCTTCTTCAAAGAGAGAGATCAAACAATGAATATTATGGTTGGGCACACTTTTTTTCTTACAAAACAATTAAATGGACATTAAATGCTCTTGGCTAGTTCAGTTGCCAATGTAGCTCAGGATGTATTTACAACTCCCCCCACAGGCTGACAATATTTCCACCTTCGCCCTTTCTTTAAAAAGAAAACAACAACTCCAAATAACACCAAGAATAAACAGCGTGCACACTCCCATCAGAACATACTTCTCAAGCTTTGCTGCATCTTTACATCACTAGATGGGCTTGCAGACCTTGTTCTATGTCTGCAGTGTTCATGACTGTCAGGTATCAGCTTATCAAGGTAAATAAAGACGACAAGCTTTTTGGCACTGTGTCTTCATATAAGAGCTTTAGCAATACCACAGTAAACAAAAATCAGAGATGAAAGAATTCACAAGTTTTGTTACCCAATAGCAGAACTCAGTTCATCTGTTGTTCCCAAAGCTTCAAAGACCTGATCATCTTTAGATCGCCTCTCCCCAGTGTATGTGCTGGAAAACCCTTGAAAAACAAGCAGTAGCAACAAGAGGAAATGGGATTGGAACAGACAAAGCTGCAAATTTTAAAATATGAAAACTCACTGCAGTCTATGCTAGTTTGACACCCAGGTAGCAGCATCTTTAGATTTATAAGACCCTAAATCTCAAGGGCCTCCACCACTGAACAGGTGTCAGCTGATTGCTTCTGTGACACAACAAGTGATGGACCCCCACCCAACATCAGTTTCTTCCTGTCTGGCGATGGTGTCACAGACCAACAAAGCAACATGCCAAAGACTTTTGCCAACTAACCCATGGGCCTATGTGTTACTTTAAGTAAGACACCGTAACCTCCCCCCTCTCCTTCCAAATGTAGGAACAGCCCAGCATGCACAGGACAGTCAAAGATTCACTGAAGCTGTAGAGTCAAGATTTTTTTAAACACAAATAGTGTTAGGCACTAAGAGGGCACATGGAACAGGAAAACAACCATTTAATTTCTGTAGGGACTATAATCCAAGAAGCATGTTAAGGGTTTGGAACGGGTCCCATATGAGGAGAGATTAAAGAGGCTAGGACTCTTCAGCTTGGAAAAGAGGAGACTAAGGGGGGATATGATAGAAGTATATAAAATCGTGAGTGATGTGGAGAAAGTGGATAAGGAAAAGTTATTTACTTATTCCCATAATACAAGAACTAGGGGTCATCAAATGAAATTAATAGGCAGCAGGTTTAAAACAAATAAAAGGAAGTTCTTCTTCACGCAGCGCACAGTCAACTTGTGGAACTCCTTACCTGAGGAGGTTGTGAAGGCTAGGACTATAACAGAGTTTAAAAGAGAACTGGATAAATTCATGGGGGTTAAGTCCATTAATGGCTATTAGCCAGGACGGGTAAGGAATGGTGTCCCTAGCCTCTGTCTGTCAGAGGGTGGAGATGGATGGCAGGAGAGAGATCACTTGATCATTGCCTGTTAGGTTCACTCTCTCTGGGGCACCTGGCATTGGCCACTGTCAGTAGACAGGATACTGGGCTAGATGGACCTTTGGTCTGACCTGGTACGGCCTTTCTTATCTAAGCTTTCCCCTTGGTGATTGCTAGAAAGTTACCTGACAATTCTAAATACAATAAATAGCATGTCAGAGCACCCCTTGGCTTATCTGCTGTATTAGATAAGCGTTCATTAGAACCTGCCATGAATTAAATTGGCAAATACATTAAAATTAATTCAGAACTATGTTTTGGGGCTTTAAAATGCCATATAAGGGCCTTTGTTTATTATATTTTTACCCGGCTCTGAGGATATTGTAGCCTCTAGGTTTTAAGTGCAGCCCAGACACTACCTTTGTCTCCTGTTTTTGTGTAAATCTTTGGAACGTGGGTTGTCTTGGGTTTGATTTCCGGGCTAGACACAAAATGAAACCGTTATGAGTTCAGCAGAAATGACACTTTAACATGCAGTCATTGGCAAGCTGATGACTGATTTATAGAGATGGCCGGACACCGCTGGTCACTGCTGTTAACGCCAGACTCTCCAAGCGGTGCCCTGGTTACTGCCCCCATCTCCCCCTTTCCTCTTAGCAGAGAGCTCGAGAAGGCAACTGGGGCCAAAGGGCGAGTTTTGCTTTGGCCCACTCGTGGGCACAGCCCGGTTCACGCTGCCACGGGCCGGGGGGATCCTAAGAAGTGTCGCATTTTCCTTTCAGATGAAATATTGTGTCAGACACAGGAACGACTTTACATCTGGGGTGGGGGAGCTCGGCGCAGCCCCGGGGGGAGGCCCAGGCTCGGGGGGGGGGGGAGAAGCTCGGCGCAGCCCCCGCTCACCTGGCCGGCTCTCCCTGCTGACTGTGGCCCCGGGTCCGCAGCCAGGCCCGCAGCGGCCTGCACAGCGCCAACCAGCGGCAGCCCCGGCCCAGCACCACTGACATGGGGCTGCCGCGGCCCCCCCCTCGGCCTCCGCGCCCTGACCTCTGACCCCGCGCCCCGCTCCCTCTGACCCCTCTCGGCCCCCGTGGCCGCGCCAGGCGCTGTCACCCCACTCGTGCACCACTCGGCCCGGCCGGCTCCCGATTGGTCCGACAGAAATCTCGTCTCCCCAGGGCGGCCCAGTGATTGGTTCGGCCGTGTCACGTGACACAGGCGCTGTGTCCCTCCCCATTGGGCGCTGAGAGGCCTGTCGGGGAACTCTTGGGGCAGCAATAGAGCCTGTGAGGTGGTTGCCAGACTCAGGTGCGGGGCTAGTGCGGCCGGGGCCTCAGTCCCTGGTGGGTGTCGGGCTAGAGGCCCAGGCGTCTCCCCTGCCTGAGGCCCCGCCCCCGCGGTGCCGCTGGGGGGGGGCGGGCCCGGGGGGAAGGGGTGTGGAAAGGGGTGGGGGGGGCTGACTGGGGCCTGTGGCATGGGGCGCTGGGCAGGTTAGGCTGAGCCCTGCCCAGGGGGTTGCTGGCTCCCTGGCCTCAATGGCGATCAGGAGACTTGGGCAGTTGAGCTATCGGCCCAGCACGAGCCCTTCTGCTGTAGATCTTCAAACTCCTGTTGCCTTTTTTCGCTTTGCAGGAGAAGCAGTGGAAATGTTGGCCAAGCCCCTGACACTGTCTGCACCAGGGAAAGCTATTCTCCATGGGGAGCATGCTGTCGTGCATGGCAAGGTAAAGTGCTCGGCTGCCGTTGACAGTCGGACAATGAGAGATGCTTAGTTTAGGGGCGACCACGAACCTTTTGCTCATTGTTGTGCACAGTTGCTCTGCCACCTCACTCATGTCTAACTTTTTTTGTGTGCAGGCAGCTTTGGCTGTGGCCTTGAACCTGAGAACGTTCCTTCAAATTAGACCCAGTAATAATGGAAAGGTCTTAATATGCTTACCTAATATTGGAACCAGTTTAAACTGGGAAACTGTCCAGCTCCGGACACTGCTAAGAGCATTTTCAGGCAAGTGCTGTTAGAACAGTGGAAGTGCATGTCAATATATTTTAAAATCATGAAACCCCTGGCTTCATCCTTCCCTCTGATATGTGACATATCTCACCCCAACCAATTATTGCACTTTGCATGTGCTTGGCAACTATCTCGTGTGTTGATGGGTTTTGGTCAGCCGGTGGCTAGAAGCTACTGTGGATTTAACTGATTAGGCTTTCCTCTCCCCCCCAAATCAGGCAGCTGGATTTACTATGTGCATTCACACTGCTAGAGCCAGTGCTTTAACTGGTCTTCATGGTCCACAGGCAGCAGACGTGCTGGGTGAGCCACGAGCGATCTGAGTCAGTAGGAGTTTGTTCCCTCTTAACTACTATGATTCTAGCATGCACCATTTAAAAGGGGACCGACTAAAGTCTCTCTAATGTTCGCATGTAGGTGCTTTATCAGCAAACCCCAAGGGACCCTCTAGTTCAGTGTCCTGTCTTCCAAAGCGTCCAGTACCAGTCACTTGTTGTAGAAAGCTGTAATCACCTGCCTCCACACCCACCTATACTGTAAGACTTGTATGTCTTGTACCACACCTAGCACAAATGAATGTGCTTGGCTCTAGATGAGTCAGATATAGTCCTTTTCTGATGTTTCATTTATGATGTTGTTGTGGGTGTCATGAAAGAAGCGAAAAGAACAGGAGTACTTGTGGTACCTTAGAGACTAACAAATTTATTTGAGCTTTTGTGGGCTACTCTGAAACATGAAAGAAGCAGTTCTTCAGTGTAGCTGGTGGTTTCTTCTCGACCCTCCCCCTTTTCCCCCCACCAGTAATCAGTTTGTGTGCTAAAGCATAGCGGCAGTCTTTATTCTATTTAGTGTTACTGGACATGCCATTCATGTAAATATCTCATTCTAATTTGGAACAATGGTTTTTAAGCTTTCTTTGTAAATATATAATTCCATCACTGATTGCTTTCCTAGATGGCTTGGATGAATCTAAATCCCCCAGCCCAGAACAAATGGATGCACTGAAAGAGTTTGCAGGAATCACTACTGGACTTTCAACCACTGAGAGCCTTGCTACCCTTGCATTTCTCTATCTGTACCTGTCTATTTCAGCTAAATATGGGTAAGAACATAGTCATCCTCAGAAATGAATGCAGTATCCTAGGTGTGCATGGTTCCTGTTAAATTTCTGTTCTGTAATTTCACAAGAAATTAGACCTCTAAAGGTAAAATAAAGGGGGGAAACTTTCCTTTGAGTTCTTAGGCGCCTATCTTGTTAGTAACTCTTAGGTGAAATAGCAAAATTGTGCTGAATGGGTGGAAAATCAGCAAGGATATGCCCAAAACATGATTAGTCATAACTGAGAAATAGTTTTAATCTTCTAAACGTAGTTAACACAGCAATTGACAATGCTACAAACTACTAAAAGGGCTCTAGAAATGTGATCGGCTGTACGTACTAATGATCTCAGCTGTAGCAAGAGAAACACAATCCTGAGCTCAGTTTTGGCAGTGAAGTAATCAAATATTGAAACATTGTACAGGTCTCTAGCTACATAGGGCTTCACATCCCAGCTGTTCTGAACGTCTTGGTGATAGTAGGAGTTGAGCTGTGATCAGCCTATTCTAAAACCATATGTCCTTACTGCTTTAGCTATTGGAAATTCTCCTTTGCTTTTAGCAGTAGGGAGCCTATTACACACAGTTAAGCAGTTCCAGTTCTATCCAAGAGAGGGCAACAGTACAGACAGTAGCCAGCTTATTAAACCTACTGTTACTGATGTGGGATCCTAAAATGGTTTATTTTAAAAATATATTTACAAAAATCTCAAGGGTATATTTATAGTGCTATTTGTGGTGTTCTATTAATAAATCACCCCCAGCACTGGGATAAAAACCAATGGAAATGAGAAATCCAATTTAGCCAGGCTTTCTTCTAGCACAATGGATTTGCAAAGCTGCTCAGCTGTGCTAGCTGAAAGTTCAGGAGGCCCATGTCTGTCATATACTTGTGCTGGTGGTGTGATCACAGCCATTTTAGTTTGCATCTGTTGCCTTTGATCTCGAGAATGTTATTGGCATTTTATGCAATGCATTTTAATGTGTTTCAGACAGATACCAAGCGTGGAGATAGTGGTGTGGTCTGAGCTGCCCATAGGAGCTGGGCTAGGCTCAAGTGCTGCCTATTCTGTTTGTTTGGCAGCTGCCCTGTTGACTGCATGTGGAGCCATTGGCTGCCCATTGGAGGAGGAGAAGTCCGTAGTCAGGTAAATCATCTGAAAAGCCAGTGTGTAGAATTAGGGTAGCATAATGTTCCCTAAATCTCCAGTGAGAAGCAAATGAATGTTGCTTGTTTCTTAACTTCATATTCCTGTCTCTCTGAGCGGATGGCTTGAAGTTAGTGACATTGTGTCAGGATACAAAATGTGATTCCAATACATTACCTGTTAAAAACGTTCTGCTTTAGTGTCTGAAGCAATGATTTACAAGATTATGCAGGTACACAGAGCCAAGTAATGAGACCTCTCAGTCCCCTAGTATATTTTTCAGCAAACTTCTATCTGTTCATACAACATACTGTTCTAGCAAAAATGCATCTTCCAAACTATACTGGAAGTGGCATAAATATCGGCGCCTCTTAATTGTAATTTGTAGTTTGGATGCAGTGTAATTTTCAGTTACAATTTGAATGCAAAAGGGTAAGTGAAGCTTCGAGATGTCATCTTCACTTAATATTGCAAGAAAAAAATATAGCAAGATACGTGAACTCATGTAAACTTAACACACACTCCGATATATGGTCCTATCTCTATGGAAGCCCCTTTATGGCCCTTTCACCATCTTACACCTTCTCATCAAAACACACTTCTGCTGTGAGGTCTGTAAACTTGGATCTTCCCCTGAACTTGATTGAGCAGGTAAAGAATAAGACCATGTAACTGTTAACCTCAGCAACTGCATGATCTCCCTTCTGTAGTCCTTGCCTTCCCAACCCATCAGTTCTCCTGCAGGGTCTCACCATCTGTCCTTGTCTACTTAGGACCCAATCCTGCAATTGCCAGTGCACAAGCCTCCACTGAAGCCACTACATGGGCACAGGGGTGTGCCTGTGCCCGTCCCCTGAGTTGCAGACAGTGGGACAAGGTGGTTATTTCTCCATAGAGTTCAGTGTACATATGGAGCTGGAGGAACAATAATGAACCTTTCTGATTTCTTTGGGAAGTTGTATCAGTTTGTCCTTTACAAGTTGTACGAGTAACAAGAGGCATTTGTCAGCAGGGCCTGGTGTGGTATTGCCCAGTAAATTACGCTTCAATGCCAGTAGTCATACACCTTGGTGACACTTTTCTTCTTCCCTCTTTATCAGAGGGGGAGAATCCAGTTTAGAATTAGACAGAAGAGCCATCAATGGTTAAGAAAAGAATCCTGCTTGAGGAATAGTCACAGCCCCCTAGCAGTTAAGGGACACCAGCCAAAAGTGTTTTGAGACCAGATGTTTGGCAGTGTCCTTGTCAACTACAGTGACAAATGAAAAGTATCCTTGAAGTGCAATATTCTAGAGAAGGAGAGGAAAACATCACTCCCAAAGAATGCCCTGTGATGGGGCAGTGAGTAGAGATGAGTCAGGACTGGGGTAGTTTTGTGCTTTAGCCACAGGTTACACATGTTGTCTTCACCTTCCACAGAAATATAATTTCTACTCTTTTCTCTCTCCCCCTCCTCTTGTAAAGGTCTGAGATTCTAATCACCACTGCCAAACAGTACAGTCTGTTCACAGATGCATAATGCAAGGGCGAATATTAAAAGTTGCAAGTGAAGTAAGGAGCTGCGTGTGAAATGCAAGCTGTTCAGGCTCAGACACCTCCCAGTGAGATGAAGATCTCTGCATGAAGGGCAGACGCATGCTCTTTTGGAGAGCTGCATCCATTTACGTTAGGATGCAACACTTGATGCCACAGTAGTTGGAATTGATTTTTAGTATTTCCATTATAGACCTTGATTTTTAGGCCTTAATATCTAACATTTCAACCTGCATTGGTCTCTCATACTTGGAACACAATGGGAGCCAATACAGGGTGTTTTTATTAATGACACACAGTATGCCAGTAACATGGCTCTTTATAAAGGGGTGATTGAGCAGAAAAAGGCTTAAATTGCATGTGCTTTGAGAATTGTTTTTAAATAAAAGGTATAAAGAGAATTTGGTGCTGGGTCAGAGAGTACTGGGATCAAGGGTATCAGTTTAGCCACAGAGCAGTAGGCACTACTGCAATAAATAGTAGAGAATGGCCATTCACGAAAACCTTCTCCCCCTTGCTCCATTACTGTACCTCTACCATAATGCTATGGGAGAAAAGGTATGTCAGTCCCCCCCCCCACACCCATCTGAGTTCTTGGCCTCTTTTCTAGTAACTGTGAACAATGCTGACAACTGTGACAATTGCTTGTGTGATGTCGGCCCCTGTCTGTCAGGATCCACCAACTCATTTCGTATACACCAAACACTGATCTGACACTACTGATCTGGATCAGTACCAGCAATCTATAGGTGAAGGTTCTGTGTCTCATTATGAGCCCTCCAGCTCTCCTCACCCCCACTCCGCTGTATAAATACTTAGCAGACATACACAATCCATACACAGTGCCACACGTGCTGCATGCTCTGCAACTTCCACAAACCCACCCTGTGCACTCAAAACAATTGCTCCAACAGACTAGCACACATTGACACTGATACTAATATCAGATGTCTCCGCATCAATTGTAGTCTGCATAGTTCAAAGTTAGCTTTTGGTGCAGTGAGAATATGAATTTGACAAGTTTTTAGAGTACAAGGCCCGAAATAGGAATTACATGATAGAGCAGAAGCATGAACATCGATTTTGTGTAGGCATCATACAGTCTTTAGTGTAACGATGAGAATAGTTGGTGAACTATACTGAAGCAAGGGACTGATACTGGGATCCCACCTGCTTCCTGGCAGTGTTTTCCTGTATCTCCCCACCTCTTGAGATCTCATCGGCAAACATCTCTTTATCCCTCTTATGCCTAAAGTCTCTTGATTTTTCTCACTGCTGTTTAATCCTGTGAAGCATTTTGAGATATTGATCATACAAACAACACTGTTCAAAAGAAATTGTAGTTTGCTGTAATACTGACCTGCTTTTAATACTCCCTTGCTGAAGGGCTGGCCTCTTTCTCTGCATGTTCTAGGTAACTCTAATCTTCACCAGTGTACGACTGCCATTTTCCTCTCCTCTCCAGCCTGTGTCTCACGCCATGTACAAATAGTAATACTATATGGATTACAATAGTGTGTTTAGGCCAGCGCCCCATTGTACCTGGCACTATACAAACAGATAACTATGAGATGGTCTCTGCCAAGCAGAGTTTCTATTTAAGTTTAAGATGAGACAACAGGTGGATGCAGCAGGCAGACAGAGAAGCACAAGGTATAGTGCTAACTACTTCGCATTTCCCAAATCCTAACTACTAGGGGGCTGTGATTGTTCCTCAGGTAGGATGATTTTCTTAACCATTGATGGCTCTTCTCTCTCAGCTGGATTCTCCCCCTCTGAGGAAGAGGGAAGAAGAAAAGTGGCACCAAGGTGTATGCCTACTGGCAGTGAAGCATATCAGACATCTAATTACAGTATCAGTGAAGAAGGGAAGTATTATCCCCATTCTTACTGATGGAGACACAGAAGTCAAGAGTCTAATGTCATGTTCAAGACCACAGAAGGAGTCTGACAGATCCAGGTGTTCCAGGCATCCAGCCCTTTGCTTGCACTACTAGACTCTTTCGGGTGGAGATTTAGCCAGACCCAGCTCTGACACACACCGCTCTGCTTGGAACCTTCCAGAATATTTCCTCACATGCAGCCTTCATGGTGCCAACACTCAGTAGCGGTTGCTGTGTTCATACTGATTCCATCTTGTGATTGTTAGAAGCCGATGCACTTAAGTGTGCTGCTTGGATACGAAGGTGTTAGGTGCCTTGGACGGCAGTGCTCCTTTTCTGCCAAGTTCTGATTTTACTAGGCTGAGCACTAATTCATCCTGTTAATTAGTGCGGGACTAGGATTCATTTCCCCTCCCCCGCAAGGTGTCCCCCTTGATATGCTGCACTTAAGTCTGCTCATGTGATTCCTGCTGCTCTTTATGGCTCGTGGACTCCTTGGTTCCTGTGGCATGTTGCCCGCTTGTAAACTGTTTCCTTGTTTTTCAGGTGGCCTGAGGAGGAGTTGGATTTAATTAACAGATGGGCCTTTCGGGGAGAGCAGGTCATCCATGGCAAGCCTTCTGGTGTGGATAACTCTGTAGCGACTTGGGGTATGTATTTTTCAGTCTCAATCCATTCCTCTTTGGCTCTGAATACAGGTGCTGTCACTCTCAGAGTAGAAGAGGCCAGTACTCTGGCGTTGGGAATGGTGGCTTTTTCAGTCCCCTTCGTGCACTGCTGCATAGCTGGTGCAGGGAGATCAGATGGGATTTGCTTAGGATTTGCTCGTAAGTAGCACTTCAGCAAAGAATCCAAAGGGCCTTGCAGACTGCAGTGAAACTTAAGTGGTCTTTCAGTGTGCATCTCAAATTGCTCACAGCCCTTTATGCAGGGAGTTTTGAATATATAAAAATGGGTCCAAAATCCATCCTGCAGACTGACTGACTGTTTAACCCCAGTCTCTGTCCTCTTGGCAGACACTGGATTAGAAAGCGAAGAGCACGAGTAAAGCCTCTTCCCTACACCATCTTAGTACCAAATCCTGTTCTATAGTTTTCCTCTGTGTTGTTGCCAGCCTGCTCTAGTAGAGACTCACTGCTTATTGATGGCAAAGAATGAAGGTAATGTTAGTTCAGAATAAATCCCTCATACAGTAGCAATGTTAGTAATACTTTCGCCTCCTCAGGAGGGAGAGAGAATGGTCTGTTGGACTGAATGGGGATGGAGGGAGGAAGCAACCAGAAACTCCCAAGTTCTGATTCTAGCTTTGACCTTGAAGTCATTCTGTCTTTCTGTGCCTCAGTTTCCCAATCTGTAAAATGGGAGTAATGCCTCACAGGGATGTTGAGAGGCTTAATTCACTAATGTCTGACTTACTATATGAATCTCCCTCATTCACATTAATGCCTTGGAAGAGGAGCCCTCATGGAAATAACTGGAATTTACAAATTATGGAGCAAATAAATATAAAATTAAAAAAAAAAAAATCTCACTGCAGGATAATGCTTTGGAAAATGTACGTACTTGGTCGCCTGTACCTTAGTCTTAATTATTATGTGCAAGTGTGCTGTGATGCTTTGTGGGGGAGTGTTTTTTAATAAGACTTCATCACAGCTACTCTATCAAAACATTGGGAAGTGGAGAATGAAGTAGCAAGCTTGCTGACTGGTGGGGTTCTGTTGGGTTGCTAACAGTTATTCTTCACAAATATTCTCTCACTGAGCTGAATCTGGTGTTTAATGTGTTTACATCTACCCCAGAAGTCTTCATTTGATTCTTACTTCGTTATTTTAGACCAATGAAGACTTGATTCTAACCTAACTCTCTCCATTTGAAAATCTCTTTATTTTCTGTGGCCCTCCAGTACAGGAAAGCAAAGGGTGAAGGCACCAAGTTACTCCTATTTGGGCCAGATCTCCCACTGAAGTTAATGGAGATCTGCCTATTCACACCATCTGAGGATCTGGCCCATTGTTTTGCCTGTGCTTCTTGCAATTAACTTCTCATGCTGTAGATTAGTTTCTACAGATGAAAGATCCTATATACTTATTAAACATTATTTTCAGATGTGTTGCATACTATGACTATGTATATATTTTACTTTAGGTGGAGTGCTCCGATTTCAATCAGGAAAAATCACATCATTAAAGAGGTAATATTAAAATTATATACACACACAGAACATATCTGTGTAGAGTTTATGGTCTAAAGGTATGAGAGTAACAAAAGAATGCTGAACAGTGTGAGTAGGAATCTTGCAGCCAGAAGCCTCTAGTGGACCTATCAGGTAGCTTTAATATCTTGAAAACCAGTTTTGTTGTCTTGGGTTGGGAAAGAATGAGGCCAATGAAATGTTTGGTCATTGTCTGAAGTTAGATTACAAGGCAAAAGATCAATATTAATTTCATGGCCTTATAGGCAGCAGGATCAGGTCAGCTCCTGGCAGCAAATGACATTTAAAAAAACAAAACAGAACCACAATTTCTTGCTTATTGAATTTTAGAACCGTACAAAAACCAAGCTGCAATGTGAAGAGAAAACAAACCCTGGTTCAGAAGGCTCTCTATACCTCCAACCAATGAACTATAATCCAATGCCATTAAAATCTTTCACAGTGCATGAAATTACTCTGTTAGCAGTTAATGTCTCCGGCTGGCTGGTCTCACAAATGGTGTTTCAAAGGAAAGATATTTTAGCTGAAAAACATGGATCTCCGTAAGCAGGTTTGTCATATTTGTAGAACCAGCACAGTTGTATCAATGTATGTGTAATTGAGAGCACCGAGCCCCAACCCAGCAAAGTACTTCAACGCACACTTACTGAAGTTAACAGGACTTCTCATGCTTAAGTATGTTGTTAGATTATGGTCTTAAATAACCAGCCTGTTCTAGAGGGGTGATAGTCCAACAGCCAGACTGTCTACTGTGACTGAGATCTTCTCGATGCAGTAGAGAGGGGAAGCTCTCATGTTATGGCTCCTTAATTCTCTGCTCGCCTTCATTCTGGACTAGGTTAGAGCAGTCTGTAGGTGAGATGGACCTAAACAGGAGTCTAGAGCACTGTGGTGAAAACCTGGCAGCAGCTTCAGATACATTTTAAAAATGGAGGGTTTTACTGACTGTACATTTTTTAATATTTAAATCCGTACAGTAGCCTTTGTATTTTTTGCGGGGAAAGGGACACATGGTGAGAAGCAAATTAACTTTGTTTCTGCTAAAATGATCAGCAGTGAAATAGTTAACCACGTTGACAACAAAATGGACACCATTAGGCTTCAGAGTAGACAAATCAAAATGGCAGTTCACACCTCTCAAAGCTGTTGTTTCAGTCTGTGGCAAACACAGGAAGATGCCACTGCATCAGTTTACGCTAGCCTCACATTTTCAAGTTTATTTTCATGATCACAAGAGGTAGGCACTTCATTTTTAAAAAAGTGGAGATTGTAGAGCCTAATTATGTAACACAGTTTGTGGCTGTGGAATAGAGGAATACATGGGGCCCTGCCTGTACAAGCAGTTATTACATGCGTTAAGGTTGTTTGACCATGGCATGAACAGGGGAGTAAATTTGTTGATGGATGTGGAATAACACTTGGACGTTGCCCAGTTATCAAGAGGAGAATGAATTTCAGAATCTTTGTTTTGTTTTCAGAGTGCCGACTCTAAGGATCTTATTGACCAACACAAAAGTGTCTCGGAGCACCAAGATCCTTGTGGCAGGTGTCAAAGACAAGATTCTTAAGGTGCAGCATCTTTTTGGTAGATGACAGTGACGTGGAAGCACATCTATTAATTGGGCTAACCCAGGGGTTCTCAAACTGGGGGTCGTGAGGTTATTACATGGGGGGTCGCGAGCTGTCAGCCTCCACCCCAAACCCCGCTTTGCCTCCAGCATTTCTAATGGTGTTCTAAATTAAAAACTTTTTTACATATTTAAGGGGGGGGTGCACTCAGAGGCTTGCTATTTGAAAGGGGTCCCCAGTACAAAAGTTTGAGAACCACTGGGCTAACCCAGTGGTAGCAAGGCAGTACATTGATTGCTAAGGGGTGGGGAGAGTTGACCTGCACTTAGAAGTAATCCCAGGATCCCTTCCAGGGGGGTAGCAGGGTGTGCATTGCTGCATTCGCATGGATTTCTTGGAAGCTGTTGTTTAGTGGTATTACTATGTTCCTCCTGGCATTACTGCTGCATGAGCAGGGGGAGGGGATGTAACTGGGGAGGAGAAAGGGCTCCCCCCCCAAAAGATGGAGTAGGTCAAAATATCCTCACTAAGGTGATGCATTGGATCTGACACTGACTGTAGAGTTTCTATGTCACTCCAGCCAAGTCAGCTTAACAGCACCCTCCAGGAATTGTCTCTCTATCTGGCTTTCTATGCTCAGTGGGGTGGAGTCCTGCTATTATGCAATTCTGATCTAAAGGATTTTTCTCCCCATTCCCCATGAGGAGCAAGTATTAATCCAAACTCTGTTCCAGGACTTCCCTTTTTTAACTAAAATGAGGATCTGGCCATGACTCTTCCTGTTGTTGCAGTGACAAGCAGCTTGGTGAACCCCAAGCATTCGAAAACCATGTTTGGCTCCAAAGAATCAAGAGTCTCATTAAAAATCATGAGATTTTAAAAAAAATCTATTTTTTTTTTTCCTTTTGTAATTTTGCTTTCTGAATTTTAGAACCTTTGAGTTTTGTTTCCAGGCTTGTCTCTGCAACCAGAGGGCTAGAAACTTCTTTTTGGTGAGAATCTGTTTTCATTTAAAAAAAAATAAATAAAAAATCCCTAACTCCAGGAGCTTGGGGCTTTAAGAAAAATGCCAAACATCATTAGTCTCTCAACAAAATCACACGAGTTTGCAACCCTGAAATACCAAACCTAACCCTGTTTCTCTCTTCATTTCCTCTGACACCTCAAATGTGACCAGCTTCTGCTTTACATCCCTTATTGCACATGAATTGTCCAGCCTCAGAGGGCTTGGTCCACCTCCAGCACAATAGCAGTGAAGCCACAGAACACCACAGAGCTGTCTTCATGTCTCTCATTTTCTTCTTGTCACAGTTTCCTGCTATAATGAACCCAGTGCTTGCCTCGATAGACGCAATTTCTCAGGAGTGTGAAAATGTTCTAGAAGCAATGGCTGAGAGTCCATCACAGGAGTATTACCCTGTGCTAGAGGTAAGGGACACTCTCGCCTGTATTCTTAGACACTGTTATAGTCGCACATCAAAACATCATTTAAAGATCATTAAGGTTGGGAGAGATTTTGATAGCAGGAAATGTTCAGTTCAGAGTGAACCACAATTTATATGTGCTATCATTAATGCACTCCCTTTGTCTGAAGTAGTTAAGGTACTGTTGCTACCTCCTGTATATAACACTTGTTTGCTTTTATTATTCTTTCAGAGCCATAAATTTCATTTCCCTTAGTTGAAGGGACACTGAGTTAGTTCAGGATCAGAATGTCCCCTCCCTTCGAATGGTTTGTGATTTGATGGCCAGTAGCCCTTTAAATTGGAAGTAGCTCTTTATAAAACTACCATTCTCATTACTGACAAAGCCAATACAGAAGCACAAAACTCAGCAGCCGCTGTTTTTGATAGACTAGTTAGAAACCAGCCCCCGCTTTGTGCTTGTCCTGTCTCCAGGCTCAGGAGAGCAGATAGCAATTGTTGTGCCCAGAACTGTTTTGACATTGATGCATGAAGTGAATAAGATCTGTGTTCATTTTGGCTCCATTCAAAGCACGGGGAGGCTGTTGTGGAAACGACTCTTTCAAATTAAAGACCTTTTTTCCCCACCCCACCTCCCCCGCGCGCAAATGTATGGGGCATTGTCCTCCATGTTCCGATTTATAATGAAGTAATTATTAGTTAGTGTCGGGAAAACTTAATTCACGGACTGCATCTGTTGGGACCTGTTTCATTATGGCCAGGTGGATGAACCCACATCTGGTATGGGAGCGGGGGAGTCCCATGTGCTAAATGCTGAACGCTTCGGGTGCTCAGAAATAGAGGTGTTGATAGGACAGAATTCAAGCAACAAGGCCATAAATTGCAGTGACCTGCTTTATTGCAAGAACAGCTGGCTGTTGCTTCTTCCATTGCTAGAGGTGTTGATAGATAGCGAGGTGTCCTGTTCTTCTCTCTCTCTCTCGCCCCCGCCCCCCGCAAACACACCCACAAGTAACCATGCTTTCCCCCTTGGTTACAATAAGGAGTCGCCTTCACTGGCGGGATTGCAGATGCTCTACCCAAGATGAGTTCACAATCAGTTTTCACCAGGAGAGGTTTGAAAGGGTAGCTTTTGTTTCCCTCCCCCTTATTTGTGTGGTCTCTTGCTGTATCCGGTTGTGAAGGCTGGAGCCTCCGGCGGAACAATGAGCAATCGGTGTCTCTTGCTGCCGTGGATGGAACAGTGGTGAACAGGTGGAGATGAGTGCACGTACCCATCATGTCTGGGGAAGATAAAGAGAAGGATATGGGGATGTCGCAAGGCCAGATAGAGAGGGTGTCAGGAAGTGAGCCTGGCGGATGGCTGAGGAACAACAAAGGCAGTGACAGTTGTGACAGGCTCAAAGTCTGGGCCAGAAAGAGCACTGAGGGTCATGGAGAATGAGTGGAAGCCTTGTGCTAAAGCACAGGACTGGCATTCGGGACTCCTGGGTTCTCTGCCACACAAATCCTGTTTGAATTTGAGCAGGTCACGTAAGCTTTCCATCTCAACATCAGTTCTCCAGTCTGTATCAAATGGGGCTAAGACACCCTCTCCTGCAGAGGTGCTTGGAGACTTCCGTTGTTAGTGGCTGTAAACTCTGTGAGGTCCAGGGAGAGAAACGTCTATCTTGATGCAATGTTATGCCACACTGTTCTCATGCAGTCAAAATGGCAGGGTTTGCACAGTGCTTATTCAGAGCATAATGGTTGGAATTTTCTCCCTCCCATTTTCGTGCCGAGGCTCTCCTGTGCTACGTTACCACTCTCCATTCAGAGCCACTTACAGTGCTGTATAGTCTCGTAGAGTACATTCCTTAGGAAAGAGAGATCTTCTGAGAGAGCTGTGTGCTGTCAAACCTGCAAATGGCTTTAGTGGGTGTCCTATGTGAGATGAGTTTGGTAGGTCTCAGTCCAGTTCCCAATGGCCTGTATCAAAATTAGGATTTTGCTTATACCCCTGCACCAAGATGGTAGAATGATTTTGTATGAAAGCTGTGTTCTGTGTAACGTAGTGGAGTGCTACCTAGTGGTTAGAGCAGGAGACTGAGTCTGAACTCTAGGGTCTGTTCCTGGGCTTGCCACGGAGTTGCGGTGTGACCTGAGACAATTCACTTCACCTGGTCCTTCATGAAAAAAGGGTTGTGAGGTTTAGCTTGAAGAGTGCTTTGAGATCCCCAGATGAAAGATGCTAGAGAGGTCCTGTTTAAATTACAAGGAGGAGAAATGCTTCAGTAAGTTGGTTTCTGTTTGTCTTGTGTCTAAAGAGCCCACAGAGGCATAGTTGATTATATGCTGCATACCTACAGATCTTTATTTTTGACTGATGCTGTAGCTGAAATGTGCAGTTCTGGATGTCTTTGTACTTGAGCCGTTGAACTAGTCTACTGTGTCATAAGCTGTCATCTGACTCCTGGCAGATCTTGGGTTGGAATATGACAGGTGTCTTGGATCTGCGCCCTGCACTCAGGCATATAAAGAGGCCCCTGGATGGAGGTCTGTCCAGTCCAGTGTACGGAGCTTGCAATGCGTACATGCTAAACACTGCTGGCTAATCCAGCTTCCCTCACGTATCTAAAGTATGTTGCAAATTGTGGTGTGGGGGGGGGGTAATTTTGCATCATCCAATACCCGCATGGTGTTTACAGGAGACCTATGTCAGACTGGATAGGGAGCCACGGTGATTGACACCTTCCATGCTGTCCTGTAGCTCCTAGCTCTGTGCAGTCAAAGCATCATCCAATGGCATGCCACTGACTGCAGTATGTGCTCATCAAAAGTCGGGTGGAGGCACTGGAGAAGCTCGTCATGGCACTGTGTGAAGAGACTGGCCCTGGGTATGGAAAAGAGCAAATATCTCAAATAACATAGTGTACTCAGCCTGCTGGCTTTTCAACTGGCTCCCTATTTAACATCGCCTGTGGTTGCCAGCTACTCCCCTCTGCTACGTTACGTCACTGTATCATGGCCCCATTCTGTGTAAAACCTTAAGGCTTCAGGATTTTGTGGCTAGCAAATTCTAACTTCCAACACTACCTGTTCTGATGTGTTTGAGAGGAAGGACAATCTTGTGGTTAAGGGAATTCTGGGGTCAGTTCCTGACTCTGCCACAGACCCACCATGTGACCATGGGCAGGTCACTTAACCTCTCTGTTCCTTCGTTCCCCATCTGTAACATGGGAATGATGATCCTTCCTCTCTCCCACCCTCATTTGTCTGTCTGTTTAGACTGTAGGTCTTCCGGGCAAGGTCTGTCTCTTCCTATATGTGTGTTTGTACAGCATCTAGTACAGTGGGGCCCGATCTTGGTGGGGGCTTCTGCGTAGTCATAATACAATTCATTCCATTTGTGGTGGTCTCAAGTGGCAGATGGATCCAGTTCAGAGCCAGAATGGCTAGTGTGTCTGGCTAGAACCAGCAATGGGAAGTGATGGGTGGGTTGAGCTTAATTGGGGCTGGGAATGTTGATCTGGCTCAGGCTGCTCAGTTGCTGCCCATCGGCCTGACCTGTTAATTATAATTGTGCCCATTCATGTACCCTTAATTAATATCCTGTGTGTGGGCTTCTGGTGCTGCTTTAAGAGATTTCTTCTCTCATCCACTCTTGTCTCATTACCCTATTTTTCAGTGCTCTGCTGGTAATGGTCTGGGCCTTGTATACGGCAGCATTTCAGCCAACTGCTCCTTTCCAATTAACTCCTTTAATTCTGAGCTTCCATTTTCTTAAACAAAAAAACCCCCCTCACTTTATTATAATCTTTACATTTCTGTGGGCGCGTGTTTAGTTCTGTGCTAGCTGCCAGTTCAGCCCCGTGCTGTAAGGTTCCGTGTCTACAAGGCGGGCTCATTGTGAGCAGTGCAAGCTTCCCCATCTACGCTCTCCAGCCAGTGTGCCTAGCTAATCTGTGAGACGGCTCATCTCCGGGGGAAATGGAGTCGTTCAGCCACCATGGCCCATTCAGTCCTTGGCCTCTGAAGCTGCCATTCATGCTTGGTTTTGTGGTATTGGATACCTGTGCGCTGGGACTGGACATAGTCTCTCCAACTCGTGTATTAAAGGACGCTGAACAGTTATTTGATTGTGATGACTTTGAACCCAGATTGCCAGGGGCTGTATTTGAACTGCTCACTAGAGGTGAAAGGGTCTGTATCCTGTTATCAATCTCCTGGGCCATTCATGCCTCCCTGCCACAAGCAACTAACTGTAGTAACAGCAGGATTTGGACATGAGTAGTCCTGTGGCTATTGCAATATCCTGGCCCGCTGGAGACCTGCATGAGAAAGTAGCCTCAGGGTTCTGGCTGCTTGCATTAGCTGGGCTTGTGAATGCTGTAGAAATCATCTCCGCTTTGGAAAAAGGCTTGCTTTGTACTTCCATAGCCACAGATGGTCCCAGAATGGAGGACTGCAGGAAACGTTTAAGAGCCTGACTTGGGTTGGCCAACAAATACCTAGAGTACCTGCCTCATGCTGGAGGAAGGCCCCTGGGTCTGGGTCCTGGATCTCTGCCTTGCAGTGGGGAGAGAAGTGCTGTATGATACAAACAAGGGAGATTTTAATGTTGCTTATCTCTGCCTTGGCGGTTCCACTTTCTGTCACTGGAGCTGGATGGATTGCAGAATTGGCCAGGAATGGGAGCGATCCCAGCACGATTCCTATCCCACAGCTACGGAAGGATTACTATGGTGTCCTGTTCGGTGCATGCGTAGCAGGAGAGAGAGGAAGCAGGCAAAGACTACCGAGGGCTGGAGTTCACAGTGCCTGCAGTGAATGGCAGCTCTCTTGGCCCTCTGCTTCCTTTGGCATCTCTCTCTCACTTTATAATGTCTTAAAATGAACTGATATCTGTGTCCGTTCAGCAGTCACGGGCTAGACCAGAAGCCCAAGGCTGCTGGTGGACTCGGTCTCATTGTTTAGCATTTGCTTGTTCCTGAGCAGTGCTACGCTGCCCAGCTTCCTGTCGCAGTAAGATGTGGCAGTCTGTCAGTGACTTCCTAACGGGTAGCTGAGCCACAGTACAGCTCTGCTTGCAGGCTCCTTGGAATAGCGCCCTCTATCACTGGAGAAGAGACCTGTTCTGGAGGATTGAGATCCAGAGCTGTCCTTGGGGGACGGCGAATCAGGGCGACTGCTCCGGTCCCTGCGCTTTGGAGGGCCCCTTGGGCTGGTGCGATTGGCCAGCACCACATGGACAGTGCGTGAACTGCTGGCTGGGGGAGGCTAGCCCCCAGCCCTACCCTTTCCACCCAAGGGAGAGTGTGCCGGGAGGGAGAGTGCACGGCACCGCCACTGCAGCCTCCCCTGCCCCAGGAAGGCGGGCCGCGTGGCCCCAGCCCCCTGGAGACCCGCGGTGCTGCTGAAGCGGGGCCCTGGGGGGGTGGAGTGTGGGTGGGGCCACACCTGGCTGTTTGGGGAGGCACTGCCTCCCCTACCTGCCCCCCCCAGTGTGGCTGATCCCAGAAGTGACGGATTCGTCACTTCCGCCCCGGGTGCCGCACTCCCCCTAACCCCCCCGGGCCAGACCTGTGATCCATGTGGTTTTGTTGTCTTTGCTTTGTTTTAAGGAGCTCTTTGATATAAACCAGCATCACTTAAATGTGGTTGGAGTTGGCCATTCCTCACTGGACAACGTGTGCCGAGTGACCGCCACACATGGGCTGCACAGTAAGCTGACTGGCGCTGGAGGAGGTGGCTGTGCAATCACTTTGCTAAGACCAGGTCAGAAATCCTTAATTTACTACTAATCATTTAACTCTGTCTTCCTTTTATGTTGCCATAGAGACCTACAGGGGCACTGTCGTAATTAAAAAAAAAAAAAAAAAAAAGCCTCGTCAGCACCTAAATTGTTTAAACCGATTAAAAAAAATTAAAACCTAATTTTGTTCTTTGCTATTCATAGAACTGTTTTACATTTCTCCAGCTGAGCTTGTGGAACTGGTTGAGTCATTTTCACTTTACTGAGACTGGTGGGAGCTCTGCTTAGGTGGCTGGCAGAGCGGGGCCGTTACTATCACTGTTCAGTGTCTGTGCTGCTGAAGTGCCCTTATTAATACTTGGGTGCCATAGCCTAAAAACATGTCACCGCATCTTACATGTATGGGAAATAGGTTTGTTGGGCTGTTTTGCCTGTGTGTGTTGGGTGAGGGATAGACTAGCGGTGTAATATACAGGAGATTGTCCATGAACCGTGTGTGTACTTCTGCCCTCTACTGGTTGGTATGAGAACTGCTCAACTGTTACATAGACCCTGTACTTCTAAGACTTTCAATTAGCTCACTTGGTGGGGTTCTTCTTTTGGAGCAGAAAGTTCTGTGTGATGTATAGTAATAATTGTGTAAAATCCATCATGGTCATGAACATGGTAGAATAATGGTTTTCAACCTGTGGTCCGCGGACCCTGGGGGGGTCCACAGACTCTAAGACTCCCAAAGGGGTCCACATCTCCATTCAAAATTTTTTGGGGTCCGCAAATGAGAAAAGTTTGAAAACCACTGTGGTAGAATATGTAGGTGGACACTCTTGCACTGGTTTGCTTATTAATTTTACATGGGAATGTCATATTTAAAGAGCAAAAAGGATGTACTTATAAACTGAAAATGACACGTCTCCGCACCTTTAGAATACCACTCCATCATAGTGGGACCCTGAAACGCTTGGCATACTAGAAACTACTGGATTCTAAAGTGTCCATTAATGTCTCCTGCCAATGAAAAATTAAGTCAAACCTAATGGTAAATTGGCTGCTCATTAATATAAGAAGGAACAGATAAAATGTACCCCTTTATGCCCTCACCCCAAACTTAGGACGTTCATTTCCTTTTCGTGGCGATACCATTTAGTCCATATTAAACATACAGCAAGGCATTTCCATCTCCCAGCGGTGACCAAGCTTAACTTAACTGGCTGGTGTAACTTCCTTCTTGGCAGACACAGACCCATTGATGGTGGAAGCAGTCAGACAAGATCTCAGTGCCTGTGGATTTGAATGCTGGGAGACCAGTATTGGGGTGCCTGGAATATGTCTTCATTCGCTGTCATCTTTGAAAGCAGAAGTTCTGCATGTCTTTAATTCGGCTTAAGATGACATGGACTCTGACTGTACCCTGCCTTCCTGTCCCTGCAAGTTCAGAGCTTCTTAACTCTTCACAGGAGTGGCCACCCATGGTGCTAAACGCACTTCAGAGTTCAGCTTACGTTGCCAGTCTGAAATATTTTGCCCCCTTTGCCATAGCTGTGGAAGTGTCGTCGTGAACTGAGACACTGACCCGAGTTCAGACCTGGTGTAACTAACGGGGCAGCTCCACTGAAGACAGTGGAATTATTGCTCTCACTTATCCCAGCTGTGAGTATGGCCCTGTGTCTCAACCTTGAAGCTGTGTCTTTGCAATGTTAACAGCGGGCACAAGAGGGAAGGGTGTGTTAACCCTGGTGTCCTGGCCAGATTCCGGCTTGAGTAATTACATTTTGCCTCCCTTCGATACATAGTGGGGTATCCTCTTCGCTTCGCCTTCGTCTGCCTCTCGAGACCAGTGTGAGGCTGGCGTAGTTAATGTGCACAGAGTACCGTGGGAGTTTCTGGTGAAAGGCACCACAGAACGCAAAGCATGAGACTGCTCCTGTATTTCTACTAATGCTGTTAGAGGCACTGCTGAGATTTAAAAAAAGGCGCTTACCTGTGTCACTAATTGAATCTCAGATAATTAAAGCTGAAGAAAGTGAAATTCTAATACACTTTGTCCCATTTTTTAGTTTCCTTTAGCATATCCCTTCTCTGTCTAGGCTGTTATGTTAGCCTCCATAGCCAATTGTCTGAGCAGGCTTGCTGCTTGTAGTCTCATGGTCTGGTTCTCACGCTAATAACACCACAAAATCTGCAGGAAGATGTTTAAAGCCAAAGGCACTTTTCCTTTATTTTAATCTCATGTCAGTATTTCTATTAATAGTAGATTTGTTAGAATCCCTGGGTTTTTGTTTTTTAAACAGTCTAATCTTTGGTCACAAATGCGGGATGTTAAGGACACATTCCTTCTACGTTCCCAGGCAAAGGTTACGTCAATGGATGATATCTGTTACTAGTCATCCTTCCTTAATGCCACTCATTGGAGTGGGTTGCCAGAGGAGCTTGACCCATAAAGTAAATCAATTTCCAAAAATATTTGTGCAGTTTCTTAATTGATGCTACCTCTAGTCAAGTGATCTACTTCTCCAGTGCAGAGTCAGTATCTCTTCCATTACTTGTTTTGTTAGCCTCCAGTTTTGGAATGAGCTGTTGTCCTTCACCCCTCAACTTCCATACCAGACACTTCTGTTATGTAGATGGTGTCTTAATCAACAAATTGACACTTGAATGTGTTAAATGTAGATTGCAGCCCATTGCTTCTATATTGAGCCCTGGCTAGATAAGGGCCGTGTGGATGCCACTCACAATTGTAGTTCAGCACTGACAATTGGAAAAAGCTCCTTTTCCGTTAACGCCCTGGTTAAGCATTCCCAGCAGCCTATCTGTGTGGGTAGGGCAAATAACGTCTGTTGCTTTCAACCGTTTTATCACAATGGGTTAAAGAGCTGCCAATGGCTGGGGGGAGGGACGGGTGGGACTTCACAAATTGTTCTGCAGTGCAAACGGTGCTGCCTTTAGCATCTCCTACTTTGGGTTTTCTTGCTTTTTCAAGGGTTCCAGATGCTGTTTCACAAAACAATCTGTTTCTTCAATGCAGTGTGATCTGGATGGACCCCTAACTTGTTTTAGGGCCCCTCTACATGGGGAAACATACCAGCAAAATATTCCAGATACGCTTCCACGTGGGGAGCCATAATGGTATAACTACAGTGGCATAATTATACAGATGGAGACTAATAAACGTCCCCATGTAGACAAGCCCTTAGACTTCTGGGATACCTTTTTGTGTGTATCAGCATTGCTGAATGTCCTAATATGTAATCAAACAACATATCTCTACCCCAAGAAAATCTCTGTTCTCCTGGAACCAGGAGATGTGACCTGTCCTCCTATTAGGCTTGGCACAATGAAATTTTTCACTTTTTGATAATTTTGACACTTAAAAAAAACCTAAACATCAATGTTAAAGCATTTTCTAGACTTACTTTTTTTTTAATTTTATTTTCACAGTTGCAGGGAATTATGCAGGGGGTCAGGTAATTATTTGGTTATAATAGACGGTGAGATTCAAAAAGTTAAAGCTGTGTATAACTGTTAAAACACAAATTGTCAACATCATGTGTTAAAATATACAAAGTAAATATCCTTAAATTAAACTCATAAGTTCTCAAGTAGCACTTTTCTTTCTTTGCCATCTGTAAATTTTGATAATTATCAGTAGAAATGTTTGTCAATTTGTGTGTATACAGTGAAACTGACATTTATTTAAACTGATGTTTATTGACTTTTACCAATAAAATCTAATCTTTCCAAGTGTACCTATGTTGCCTCTTCTGTGCTCATGGAGGTATCTTGCATCTAGGCAGAGATGATTTGATCGTCTTGCTTTTTAAGTGTTGTTTAAAAAAAAAACAAAACCCTTGAATTCAGTTCCTTTCCACCATCGCCTCCCTCCCCTTGCGCCGGTGCACACCCCCATAACTGTCTCTGCATTAAAACTTGTCTTGCTGGCATAGCACGGGCCTTTGGCAGCTAATCCAGGGCTTGAGAGGCAGAGGGCAGTTGTCTGCTTCCTCCTAATTCTTACTCTTCTGTGAGTCTTCCTTCCACCCTCCCCCAGCTCCTGTGTGTGTGTGTGTGTGTGTGTGTTCCGATTTTTCTTTTCTTTTATGTGACTCGAGTGCTGGAGCCTATGGTCATCTCTCCAGCCACTGAGCAGTCACAGCGCCAGCGGCCCATGCTGCGCCTGGAGAAGCTCACCTCTTGGCATGAGCCCATCTTTGCTTTCCATGCCCAATCCCTGAGTGCCAGTTGAGGGGACTGTCTTCGATGCAGTTATCTTAGCTGAGACCATGAAACTCATGACTCCATATTAACCACCAAAGAGCCATCAGATGGTAACCTTCAATCACTGGTAAATATTCAAAGCAGCAGCCTAGATACGGAACCCTCTAATTCCTGTTACTATTCTTCTCAACCATTCAGTTCCCCTCTCCTTCCCCTCACTAAATAAATGTGAGCAGTGAGTGTGACGCCTCCATTTCATCCTCTGGCTCTGTTACCCTAGCACAACAACTCGAACTGTGGACTCAGTCCGGGACAAAACAGAGCCCTCCTGCTTGGGAGGAATCCATCTGACCTCTGGCATCTCAGTCAGCAAATTTTCGGCCTGTCTTTAACTGGGCTTGTGTTGCATCTGATTGTCAGTTGGTGAGATTAAGCTGTTCAAGTGACAAAGGACCTGATTGGCTACAGCAGCTACAGCCATGAGGTGTAAGTGACTTGAACTGTGCTTGTATGTCAGCCGAGTGCAGGTTTGTGCTACAGCAGGGGTCGGCAACCTTTCAGAAGTGGTGTGCCGAGTCTTCATTGATTCATTCTAATTTAAGGTTTTGCGTGCCAGGAATACACTTTAACATTTTTAGAATGTCTCTTTCTATAAGCCTATAATGTATAACTAAACTATTGTTGTATGTAAAGTAAATAAGGTTTTTAAAATGTTTAAGAAGCTTCATTTAAAATTTAAATTAAATTAAAATGCAGAGGCCCCCGGACCAGTGGTCAGGACATGGGCAGTGTGAGTTCCACTGAAAATCAGCTCGCGTGCCGCCTTCGGCACGTCTGCCATAGGTTGCCTACCCCTGTGCTACAGTATTAGCATTTGCAAGGGCAAATATCTCACCCAGGAGCCACATCCTCCTCCCTGAGAGCAGCTGCTGCTTGTTTGTGTGAGGTAGCAATGGAAACCATCACCTAAGGTGGCCAAATGGGGAACTGTCTTCTAAATTGATGGATTTTGATCCAGTATCCGGCTCTTTGGTCCCTTCTCTTTAGGGACAGGAAAATGGTCTCTGGAATGACGGAAGAATTTCTAGAATTATTTGTATTACCACAGTGCCTAGGAGCTGATCGCTTACTACAGAATGATCAATTCTGACAATGGCTGCTGTGCGCTCAGCCTTCAAGATGGGAGCAGACAGCCCCTCAGTGTTTTTAAAAGGGTTATGCCCTTTACAGCCATCAATTGCTTCAACGCTTTTCTGTTGCTGACCACAAGGGGGCAGTGGAGACCCACTCTTCTGAAATACCAGGAGCCTGTATTCCAAGGCCGGGCCCTTGGATAGTGGTTGGGAGGCACCTTTGGCATAGAAGATATCGGGGTCTTGCTCTGCAGTATAGCTTCTCCAGGACTGGCGCTGGCGTCAAGCTCTGATAGGTCCGCTTAGAAACGGTTAACAAAGAGATCAAATTTGCTTATGCCTCTCGGCCTGTTTGATTTGACGGGCAAATCTTGCCCGGAAGCAGGGCAGCGAGTTATCTGTGCCAACAGCGGGGCCATAATTGCATAAGTCAGCAGCTCTAGCCAGTCCCAATTTATTAGAAGTAAGCATGGATTTTACAACCGGCCGCAAGTGCTGTCTTATTTATTTATCTTCCTCTTCCCTCCCCCTCGGTTTAATCAACAGGAACCCACAACAAATAGCGTGATTGACATCAGAGGTGGTTTTCTGCTTACTTTTCACAAATGTTCTGTCCAAATAGGGGGGATAAATAACCTTTTCAATTGCAGTTACATTTACACTGGGTCTCACCCAATTAATTAATTACACACCCTACTAATTACATAGAGGAGTAAACTGAGGCAGAGAGAGGATAAAGCGAATGGTGCTGACTCCGATTAGCAAGAGCCAGGCATAAAACCCAAACGTCCTGCTCCCCTGCCCTAGCCACAAGCCAGCGCTGCATCCATGGATCTCCGTTCTTACAGCTGTCGCACTCACCTGTTCCTGCTGCTGTTGGCTCACTCTTGTAAAACGGACAGGTAAGAGGTTCAGAACGAGGCAGCATTTGAACAGCTGCCCCTGCAGTTTAACACTGAGCATTTGAAGCGCAAATTACATTTTGAGTGTTCCCCCCCCCCCCGTTCCCCCATCCTCTCTGCCTTACCTTGCAGCTAGTATCCGCAGCAAAAGAGCAACCGCTTCGTATATTTACTCCCTCCCCCCCCATGTCTTTCTCTTTTTATAGGCTCATTTTACAGATGTGTAATGGAGCAACGATTTCTGCTGAAGGATTAGCCTGGTAATTTGGCTAATTTTTCTTCAGCTTCATTTTTCACATTAGGAGCTTTGCAAAAAGACTAACGATCCCAGCTTGGCCTCTTAATAGCCAGAGCAGGGAGGAAAGGTTGGAGTCTAAACTCCATCCTGTTGCAGAGGAAAAGAACATGTAACAATCTTTCAAATCGCTTCTTGCTTGGGTAGCTTGTGGCTTGGCTGTTGGTTCTGAGTCTGTCTGGGGACGCACGGCGGTCTGGTGACTAGAAGGCTGGGTTGTGAGATCTGGGTTCTAATCCTACCACTGCTACTGGACTTGCTGTGTGACTCTTCACCTTCCTGTTTCTTCTCCTTGCTGCTGTTCTTATCTGTGTAGGATCTTCAGGGCAAGTACTCTGTCTGTAGAGTGCCTACCACCCTGGGGCCTGGATCTCGGTTGGGAGCTGCAGGTGCTAATGTACTGTAAGTTCTTACTAGCCAAGTGCTCTAGCAAAAAGGGCTGAGACTCCTAAAGAAAGGTTGCATCCAAACTCTGCAGGGATTTTGTTAATATAAACTATACCAAGGGTTTTTTTTCCCTCTAAGTGGATCAAATGTGTTGAGACGTAGCTGTATTTCCTGACGAGGGCTGTGCGTATAATCTACTTTTATTGTTTTAGCCAAAAGGATGCTTTTCAATCTAATATCAGCATAAAATGAGACACTTTGTCAAACCTTTCTTAAAAAAAAAAATGTCCCCACTTTCTTAAGGAAACTTCTTTGATGTTTAATGCTCTGTCTTGCTGATGGGAGGGATCCAGAGCTCATGGAGAGATGCCATGCAGCTGTGGGAGGGGAGTGAGTGAGCAAAGACAGCCGAAATGCATCATAAATCCTCAGGGAGGGGGAACTCTTTTTTTTAAAAGTGACTGCAGAGACTTTGAATCTCAGACTCTCTCTCTTGTAAATCATTGTTCACTATCGTTCTGCCTGCAGGGAAAATGTTATGAAATGTCTGGTAGATCGAGCTGGCTGGCCAGAAACCTTAAGGGATGACCTTGTAGCTAAAGGCATGCATGGAATAAAATACCTGCCTTCTGTTCTCGCTCCTAACAAATCTGCTGTCTACCTGTCTTGACTTTCAGTTGGGTAGGGAACCTTTTACAGCTTCAAGAGCAAGGCCTGCTGCTGTGAGAGGGGCTTCGATTC